TACTAGAGTTCTAAATCTTTCCCTGTATTGGTTGTTGTAGAGCATTTTGCTGTTATCTATTAATATTTGCCGTATGTTGATAGTTGTACTTTGGTCATATATGATGCGCTGATCAATGTGTGCATGTATTGCCCCGAGTTTCGACAGATGACAAGTCAATCTGCAAGAGAGTGTGGTGCATGTGTGCCCAATGTAAGTATTTAATGTTGCTTTTGGTTATTTGTGTTGGAAATGCAATCTCCCAGGAGGCATGAGAATTCATAGACAATATTACTTTTATGTAGGTAGGATATATAAGGCCCTGTGTTTTTGGTAATAATTAAATTAGATGTTTAAAACTTTTTATGATAGATGATAAATTTAGGTGTTTGTTAGGATTGTTGAGTTATATCTACCAGTGAATTACGTTTTTAATTGCTTTTTCATCCAATTTATAATTAGGGTGCATCTGGTTACACTAGAATCAGATAATGGTGTGTGTATTTTTGTTTGTGTTGGGGCAGGGTTTGGTGTCATTTTAAAAAAATTTCATTAAGGATAATTTTATTCGTTTATCAACGACGTGGTTAGGGAAATTATTGTTGATTGGGGTTTGTTTAATGTCGCTAAGTTCCTTACAGAATAATAGTTCTGAAGAAGAGATTACTTTGGCTGAGTAAATCAGTATATATGTGCATGTGTTATTACAATATTTTTATTATAAGACATTATAAAAAAAACATTTTAAATTGCTGCATAAAAGTTTTCATATTTGTGTAGTGATTTAAAATGTTTTTATTATAATTTCTTATAACAAAAATATCATTAAATAGTATTTTGCTCTACTTTGTATTGAGCACTTTTTAAAAAAGTAAATGCTTTACTGTGGATTTTTATTCCATTTTATATATATATATATATATATATATATATATATATAAAAAATTCTAACATAAATATGTTATAAAATCACTACAAAAATAGCCATTTTGTTTCAACACTTCTGGTGTCTTATCAAGTGATGGTGTTGAATATAGAATAAAGGGTTTTAAAAGTTCAAAGGTTTATTCTATATTCAACACCATCACTTGATAAGACACCAGAAGTGTGTATATAGGTAGGTTTGCCTGACTCTTTAGGTTTGTAGTTAGATTTGCTCTACTTAGTGCATTGAGTACTTTGCTTAGTTATTTTTACTTTACTCATGTCAAAGGTTTTTTCTTTGGACTCTGAGCTTGGATTCTGGTTGATTGTTTTCACCTGAATTACATGTTCTTAGTTCTTTCTTTTTTTATTCCTTATTTTTCCTTGGGTATTGGTTTGTTCATTTACAAGCCAAAACACCTAAGGTTTTTCTGGATGAGTATACTTACTTATATTTATAGGATATATATATATATATATATATATATATATATATATATATATATGAGAAAAAGAGAGAGAAAAAGGTCATAAATTTTTTTTTGTGAACTAAAAATTCAGTTATACTTTAATGTATTGATTATATTGATAAGCTTTTTTTTAATCTTCATACTTTACAGAAGTATATGCACAATATAAAGTATTTTTAAATACTCAAAATATTTTCAATAGTAAATTCTCTTAAGACGCCAATTATTCTGTTCTTTCTCAACTGAGTACAGAAGAAAATTACATGTTAAAATATCAACAGCAAGTTATTTATTAAAACTTTGAACAAGTATTTTAAAATTAATTTGTGAAAAAGTGTATAAAAATATAAAGTAAACTGATTGGAAAGTGATTTTTATTTAGAAAATAAACATTCTTATTAAAAAAAAATACCTTAAAATCATTAAAGAAATGCTATTTGCATATTTTGTAAAGAAAAGATAAGCATTAAAATTTTTTTTTTACTTTCAAAGACATGCATAATAAATAATGGTGAGATGTACTCTAAAAAAGTTGAGATTTGAAAATTTACATTTTATGTGAAAAGCAAAATTTGAGAAGTCATTCCATTTAGAATAGAGAGAGGTTGTTTTTAGCACTTTAAAAATGTTTCAGATGTTGTTGTGTCAAGATTAAATCTGGTTGTAGCCTTAGATACCAGTTGATATGAGTTTCCAATAATATACATAAGTATCAGTGCTAAGTGTTTTAATACGTACAACTGTTTGGGACATTTTATATATTTTATACAATAATAAAATTTAGTGTGTGTGTGTGTGTGTGTGTGTGTGTGTGAGAGAGAGAGAGTGAGTGAGTGAGAGAGAGAGAGGTGGGGGTGCTGAAAAGTTCTTGGCTCAACCCACTTCCAAGTATTTGAATTTCTAGAATCCATTCTTACTCAGGCCAAGATCTTTCTAGTACCCTTTCAGATATTTGTGTGTGTGTGTGTATATATATATATATATATATATATATATATATATATATAAATAAAGATAGTGGGGATGTCCCATTTGTTTATGGGTCATATATCTAAGTGTATTTTTTTTTTTTTTTGTCCTTCCTAAGAGTTATAATCTCTGCAAGTGGATAGAAAGATAAATAATAATAAAATGTATTAAGTGGAGGGAGTAGAAAGAATGACAAGAGAAGAATGAATTGATCTTAGGAAAGGAAAGGAAGATTTTTAGCTACTATGTCAGTCAAAGTGGAAAGGAAAAAAAAAAATATCTATTAAAATAAATGGAAACCATCTGTCACAAGTAATAAATTGGAAATTAAGATAAAAAATAAAAGTAAAATATCAGATGGGAGCGGGTAAAAGATAGGAAAAACTCAATGTGGAACAGACACTTGTAAATTGAGAGATGTTGGGTAAGACTAAAATCCATTGGCAACTGGAATGACAAAAAAACAAAAAAAAAAAATTCACAAAATTTGATAAGAGGAGTTGTAAGGGAGTAGATACAAGATTTTGAAGAGGTTTTACTATAAGATAATTATTTTTCATCATAATTTAGGAGGGAAGTTTCTTTCTTAGTTGTATCTCTTGATTTTACTATTCTTCTTTAAAAAAAAAAAAAAAAAATTAAAAAAAAATTGAATTTACAAGACTTTATTGCAGTTCAACTACTAGTTTGACTAAAAGCAGAGTGTAAGGAAATGGAATGTATTTCAACAAGCCCATATTTTATATTCTTGCTTTTATATAACCAGAGTTAAGAGAAAATTGACTAGTATGTCACTAAGAGAAAGATATCTTCATACTTGGGAAGGTCCTGATTGGCATTGTCACTTCTAGTGCATGCCAGAAGCAAAAGAGAGACAAGAGAATGAAGACAGTGTAGGGATACAGAAGGTACTTATCACTCTTTTGGGGTCATATGACAGCCGCTTAGTGACATCACTCCATACAGTGACGAGAGTGACAGTCAATTTCAGTTTGTTTACAGCAGCCAGACCTAGAAATTGCTTTCTTTTAGCCTGGGCCTCTTAGCCCGGTCAGAGGCTAAATCTGACTCCTCAGCAGCTTACAAGTCCATGATATACCTTTCTCAAATATAGAAAGAAACTCCAGCTTGCAGTCCTCAATTTAGGAAAACACAAGACTTGCCATTTCCTGTTTGTGGTATATGTCCTCACCTGGGACATAGATGAATTTAAATCTGGAGTCCTAAATATGGCTTTTCCAGACATAGAAGAAATTCCATATTATATGTAAGACCTTTCCTTTGTTTCTCCTTACACTCTGCTTTACTGTGTATGCATATGTGATATATTGTTCTCAGTGTGGAACATGCTTATGTATATATAGATTTATGTGTGTTTTAGTCGTATAAAAATCTCTCTGAGAACAAAGCATATTTGTCATTCCATTTTCCTTTAAGCCATTTGTTTCATCATGGATATAATAATGTCCAGAAAGGGGGAAATACAAATGGAAAATAAACCTTTCTACCATGGCTCTCCCCCATTATGTCCCAGAATGCAAAGGCCAGGGCCAGAATGGTCAGTGATTGGTCATCATTTATTCATCCAAAGGCAGATATTATTTTAAAACGAATCTGATTTTAAATGAACCTGAACTGACAATTAAACAATGTTAATCCTCATTCTCATAAAATAAATACAAATGACACAAAATAATTTGTTATGCATTAACAATGGTGATTTTATATTGTTTGGAAGTTGTTTTTTTATTGAAGCAGGTTTTTATTAAAAATAAATCACAAAGTTTGTTTAGATAATTGTTAGTGATTTTCCTTGTTTTCACATAATTTCTTATTTGTGTAAAAATTATTTTTATATGTTATAGTGCTTTCAACAGTCACTAGTTATTTTCAAGAACAAAATTTGTTATATATATATATATAATGCACTGGTTTTTTTTTCATTATAGCATTCAGTGGATAAAAAAATTTTAAATAATGCTTTTCATATTTGTGAGTTACTTTAGGTGGAGGCATCGTGGAGTGGCTCGGATTAAGGAATTGGGAAGCTGATGAATTCCATAAGAGTTCATTACATTCACTTATGTGCTAATACTCTCAAGAAAGGTTTTAATTCATCTCTTTTAAGAGTAAAATAGGATGACAAACTGGGACCTATAGCCTTGGGTGGTAACTAGTCAAGGAGAAGGAAACTTTGACTTCAAACCACCTGCTGACTTGTAGGTCCTGCCTCTTTAGGCAAAGGCTATAAAGGTAACTTCAAAATCAAATTCACCTCATGAGAGAAGGAATGGAGTGATCTCAACCTCAAAAGGGACTGGGAAGCCATTCTATTCTGTCTTGAATGTTACCATGAACCATAATTATCATAAGGTGGGGATTGATGACCACAGCAGTGCAAAAATGTGCTAACTGAATAAATGATGATGATTTACTTTGTTGTCAGTGATATTTTCAAAGTAGATTTGATTGAGTTTAAAAATTGTAAGCTCATTATTTCCTAAAATGACTTCAATTTGTATAACTATTTTCGATTGGTAAGCTTCAGGCGGAATTCAACATTGTATATTAATAAGAGGTACTATTAGGTTATTCATATTTACTCAATAAGTCA